GCCTATGTAATTTTTTTTATGCCACACCAGTCAGCCACATCAATTCAGTGACATGGTTTGTGGTGTCAATTTTTATGTAGACCTATGGGAACAAGCCTAGGGATATTTAAGACTATACTGACCACTCCTCCTTGGCTTGTCTCGGTCTCGGTTGCCCGAGAGTGCATTTAGACATGTGGGGTGACTTTTGTGTTTTTTAACTTGGCTTTGAACTCTGATTACTTTGACTTCTGGAATTCTTGACTTTGGCTCTGTTTACCTTTTTCTATTACTCTGTACTCCTTGACCTCAGACTGTCCCTGTTTACTCTTGTCTGTTATTTCCTGCACACTATATTCTATGTTAAGCATGACCACCCTAAGGACCGGTAATACGTTTCCCAGTAGTATAGTATAGCTTTAGCCCTAAGGTTTGCATGTTGGCATGTCTAGCCTTGACATGTCTTTAAGAAAACTCATTCTAAACGTTGAGTATATACTTGCGCCACTAATAGAGAGGTATGCAACATATACAGTACATACATCAAGCTAAACTGGCATGTGTACTGTATATGTTGTATTGCTTAACAGGAACATATTAGAATTCTGAAGTCAATTTTTTAGGTGACACTTTTTTGTCATGGTTTGCTGGAAACCATTGCACTACAGTGGTTAAAAACTACTACCATAACATCGCTTATTTTTTTGACAATCTTTATTTTTCCATTTATTTTATACAGCACGTTTAAGTCAACACACACATTCAAACATGTTCATCTCCTTATACAGAGGCCAGGTAGATAGAGTAACACACTCCAGATAGGCCGCCATTACATCTGGAAATTTGGCGGAATCTTAGCAATAGAATAAAGCTAGAATTTAGACAGCGCTGATACATCTGAGCAGCAAACAGGGCCACAATCCCGGGACCACCGGAGGACACATGTGATTCATGCGCCGGGTGGGGCGTGGGGTATGTGGCTTTCCATTCTACCTCGTGAACGGGCATTCTAAACTGCATGTAGCCTCTGCCACCGTATTCTAGGCGGCCCTCTAATGGGTTCGCCCCTGGCCCAGTGTCCCCTCGGTATCCACCGACCCCCTACACTGGGTCGGTGGTTCGTGGGCGAGGTCTGCCAGCTGCAGGTTGCCCTCCGAGGCCACCGTGCCCTTTCTCCTCCCCTAGCGTAAGTAGCCTGAGCCCCCTAGGGGTCAAATCAGGTACCACCGCCTGTATTGAGTCTGAAGCCCGGGGTGAACCAAGTGTGTGAGGCTGAAAGCGCCAGAGGACCTCCCCCCGTATAATCCGGAGGCTTTGTTAACCTCCATCCCTCCACTCCGACCCCCCTCGTCCTGTACAACACCCACCTGCACCTAAGATGTTCAGAAGCCTCACCGACCCGCTATCCCCCTATGTCGCCATGGACTAGCTCCAGTCCTTGCTCTGTACTTCCAGCCCCCTTCCCCAAACACTCTGAATGCTAAGTTAGAGGGTGAGTGAGCTTGTGAGCCTACTCTCGGGTAAGTGCCTCCGTGTGTCGTCTGTCTGGGAAGGACGGAGGGGTATGGGAAGGGAAGTCATAGTCGCATGGATGGGGAAGTGCGCCCCCCTCTAAACAGGAAGGCACCCCGGGTCACAGTCAGGTCGTTGTGGGTGAGGAAAGCCGTACCGGTGCGGGAGCACCACCTTCCCCGGACCGGGCTCCCCCCGCGGCCCCCCTGGCCGTGTACTCCGTCCAAGGAAACCATGTGAGCGCACATTTATCCGAGCGCCCCTGCAGAGACGCAGTCATCAATTCCATGTTGTAAATCATTTCCACCCTGTCAATCCATTGGTGGAGCGAGGGGGCTACCTGACTTCTCCATAACGTGGGGATGAGAGATTTTGCTGCCGTGAGAAGGTGTATCACCAAGCCCTTCTTGTAAGCGGAAATAGGCATGCTCGTATGATTCAGTAGCATTGGCAGCAGCTGGAATGGGATGTCTGTCCCGGTAACATCTTTAATCCCTTTGTGTATCGCTCTCCAGAAAGGTTCGATGCGGGGGCACGACCACCACATGTGGATCCCAGAGCCATCCGCATCTCCACACCTCCAGCACTCTCCTGAGATGGACTCGTGGACATGACGAAGGATGTCCGGAGTTCTATACCAGCGTACCAGTATCTTGTAGTTGCACTCCTGGAACTTGGAGCAGATGGTCCCCCTGTGCGTCAATTGGAAGATCTTTTGCCATTCAGAGGTAGATAGCTCGACCCCTGCTTCCCTCTCCCACCGTGCCGTGAACCCTAGTGGGGCCTGGTCTTCGCCACTCTGCAACATGGAGTAGAGTTGCGCTATGCCATGGATGAGATGCTGTCTGGCGGCACAGATTTGTTCGAAGTGGGACAGTGGGCGGTGGAGGTGCGCCTTCCCAGTTAGCGAGGTTACATGGGTTTTAAGCTGGTAGTACCGGAAGTTGTCCAAGCCGCTGGGTCCGTGGTCTTGGAGTAGCGTAGCCAGCGGTTTAAGGTTCGGACCATTACACCATTGATGCAGGTAGATCCAGTCCGTGGCCCCAAAGTTCCTCAGATCACCTGGGGAGAGTCCACCTGCCAGTCTTGGGTTATGCGTCACGGGCGTAAGTGGATTTGGCGATGACGTGAGTTGTTGAGAGAACCGGATGCCACACCAGACCTTCAGAGTCGCATCCACCAAAGGGTTGCCCGTTCGCAGTTCCTGAAACGTGGCATCCCCCAATCACAGCTGGGACGGTATTTTGCCTCCCCCCTCTTGTTGCTTTTTTCATGTCTATCCACCGCTTCCCGCTAGGGGCAGCGTGCCAGTCCACCAAACGAGACAAGTGTGTAGCCCGGTAGTAAGTAAGGACCGAAGGCAAGCCCATGCCTCCCTCACTTCTAGGACGTTCCAGGATCGACTGCCGAATGCGGGCGGGTCTCTGGTTCCATACGAACTGCTTAAAGGCGGATGACAATGTTTGGAAGAAGTTCCTTGGTATAATGACCGGGAGCGTCTGGAACAAGTACAATATACGGGGCATAACGTTCATTTTAATGGCATTTATGCGTCCGAACCAAGATATATATTGGGGGGCCCAGCGCTTCATATCTTGTTGTAGGGTTGTGAGTAAGGGGGCAAAATTCATGGAATAAGCTTGAGATAGATCACACGGTATCCAGATGCCCAGGTATCGTAGTTTGTTCAAGCAAATCCGGAAGGGGAAGTGCGCCTGGATGTGTCTACGAAGTGCCGGGTCTCGTGTGAGTGGCATCAGTTCCGACTTGGCCAGGTTGAGCTTCAGGTTAGAAACTAAGCCATAAAGTCGGAAAGCTTCTATTAGGTTCGGTAGCGAGATTCTTGGCTGTTCGAGGAGGAAGAGCATGTCATCGGCGTATGCCGCCACCCGATGCTCCTCCCCCCCTACCAGGCACCCCGCTATGCCCCCGTCTCGCCTCACCGCCTCCAGAAAGGGCTCCAGTGTGAGGGCAAACAGGAGGGGGGACAGCGGGCAGCCCTGACGCGTGCCATTGGAAATCCGGAACACACCCGTAAGTGCTCCGTTCACCCGTATACGCGCCGTTGGTTCCGTGTACAGCGCCGCAACCCATGCCCTTAGACCTGGTCCAAACCCCATGCATCCCAGGGTCTCCTGCAGATAAGTCCAGTCAACTCTATCGAACGCCTTCTCGGCGTCAGTAGAAAGGAGTACCATCTCCCTCCCACTGGTTCGAGCTACGTGGACCGTGTTAAGGGCCCTAATGGTATTGTCTCGGGCCTCGCGGCCGGGTATGAAACCGACCTGGTCCGGGTGCACGATCTCCGGCAGGGTCCTGGCCATCCGTAGTGCCAGAGCTTTAGCAAACACTTTAAGGTCCGGATTGAGCAATGAAATTGGTCTGTAACTGGCACAGTCCATGGGGTCTTTGCCCTCCTTCGGGAGGATCGTAACCGTTGCCCTCAATGTGTCTTCATGAAAGCGGTCTTCCTCCCGCAAGGAGTTTAGCCCTGCGACTAGTCGGGGTAGAAGGATATCCCTGAACGTCCGTAGATAAGAAGCTGGTAAGCCGTCCGGCCCTGGTGCCCTGTGAGTCTTGGTGGCCTTCAGCGCTGCAGCGAGTTCCTCCACCGACAAAGGAACCTCCAGTTCCGCCTCCTGCTCCGGGGTGAGTCTGCGTGTAACATGGGTTTGTAAGTACTGCACTATCCTCTCCTTGTGTTGCCGTACCTCTGATGCTGTGCGGTGTTTCGTTTGGTCGTATAGAGCCGCATAATACTCCTGGAATGCCGACAGAATGCCATTTGGGAGGCGTGTAGTATCCCCATTCCCCGTGCGTATTTTATGGACATGGAGCATCCTGCGCTTTTCACGGAGCATCCGGGCTAACAATCTCCCGCACTTATTGGAGTGTTCGTAGAAGAACCTAGAGGCCTTCCTAGCGGTGAGCAATAGCCCCTGCGACAGAATCTTTTGCAAGTCCCTACGTGCCTCCACCAGTTGGAGGTAAGTGTCCTCGTCTAGGGTTTGCTTGTGAGTTCCTTCTAAGTCAGCGATACGCTTGGTCAGGCTGGAAATGCAGGCTCATCTGTCCTTTTTGCGTCTGGTGCTCTCGGAGATGAAGAAGCCCCGGATGACGCATTTGTGCGCCTCCCAAAGCCTTAGAAGAGTCGTATCCACGGTGTCGTTGGTGGTGAAGTACTCTGACAGGGCACGGGTCGCGGACTGCCTGAGTGCCAAATCATCTAGCATAGTTTCATTGAGCTTCCATTGTCGTTCACTGGGCTTATATAGCGGGGAATTAGTATGAACCAGGACCGGTGCATGATCCGAGTGGCCTATAATGCCTATTTCCGCTCCCTGCAGGAGGTTCAAAAATTCTTGTGCCAGGAAGATATAGTCGATACGGCTGTATTGTGCGTGCACCGCAGAGTAGTGGGTGTAGTCTCTCCCCTCCGGGTTGCAGGCCCTCCAACAATCTACCAAGCCGGCTTTGTGCAAGGCACGCTGGGACAGCCGGATACTTGCTGCCGGGACCGCGGACATGCCCCTGGAAGTGTCCAGCCGGGGGTCCAGCGGGACATTGAGGTCGCCGCCAAGGACCAGGAGGCCCTCCCGGAATGTCTCTAGTTTGGCAAGTGTTCGGGATAGGAAGGTGTGCTGGCCCCTATTTGGGCAGTATATGCAAGCGAAGGTATACACATGATCCGCTATGGTGCCCTTTAAGAATAGGTATCTCCCCATCAGGTCCAATTGGGACGCCAAATGAAGGAAAGGCGTCGTCTGGGCGAAGAGAATAGCCACCCCCGCTTTTTTGGCGGTTTGGTGATTAGCGTAAAATCCCAACGGGAATCGCCGATTCTCCAGTTTAGGTGCATCTCCCCCCTTGAAATGCGTCTCTTGCAGGAACGCCACGGATGCTTTTGCAGCCCAGAGCTGCCGCTGCAATTGTGATCGTTTTTCCGGGATGTTAAGCTCATGAACGTTGTTAGACCAGTAGGTCAACATCGCTTATTTTATTATCTGTTGCATTCAAGGCTAGATTTAACTTGTAATAAGATAATGCAGTCCAGGATGAGTTATATACAGTGTGGGCCAAAATTCAGAGTGGGGTTTGACAGGTATATTACTTATTTGTTAGTAGTTTAAAAAAATTTGTTGCAGGTACATATAACTCCGTCTTGGGAGGTTCATCATGGGTAATTTTAAGGAACAAGTGGAATTTTATTTTCAAAACTGAGACAACTGTTCAGCAAGTGGATAATTACAAAACATTTGCAGATTAATTGGCCCAAATGTTTGCCCAACCTGTCAGCTCCCGATTTACTTACTGTGGGGATAACTGAAGGAGCGGATGTACGTCAACAAACCGCATATACATAAGCAGTTCAAGGAGAATATCCATGCAGAAATTCAAGTGCTACAGCCTCAAACATGAACTAATGTTATGAACAAAGGATTTGAAAAAGACTGACTTTGCGAGGCGGCAAATGGAGCTCATTGAAAAGGTGTCATCTTCTGAACCTCGTCAAACAAATCTCCATATGTTAAGTATTCATTGTATGAAATATCATTAAAATTGGTTCATTAATAAAATAAAGTTATTGACTCCTCAAACCCTACTCTGAACTTTGTGCCACCCTGTGCTTTTGTAGTAAAAAGCAAAGTGCTAATTATTCTTGTATTACAATACCGCCTGGCAATTATCATTTGCAAAGAGGACTGGATTGTGTTACCTGTGAAATGTTTATCTATGTTTTTGATCTTGGTACTTTGTGTTGTAGTTTGAGCCATAATTCGGAAATAAGTGGATTTCAAGTAATAGGAGACCAAGCATCATTTAGCTAATCTAATATAAATGTTCATTTGTAACTGGTATTTGTTTAAAATCTTCTGAATGCAAAACAGAAACTAAAACGGAATGATTTTTTTGCCTATGGTATTATATACATATATTTATTACCATAGGCAAGTGTTAGAGATACAGTCTATGTGCTGGCAGTGGGGGTGGGTGTTTGGCTGACCACAAAATGTCTGTTTACTGTGGAAATGGGCAAAATAAGTAGTAACCTAGAGAGCAAGCAACGTTTTGTTTTTGTTTTCTGTTGGAGGAAACATCTTATATTCAGCTTCCTGCCTGCTATCACAGAGATTTTTACGAACATACTGTTATACATTGCTCGTACACAAAACTTTCCCACATTTATACCAACAGAAAACATTTCGGATTGCATATGTAACCCCACCCAATCCCTAATAGCAAGAGTGCCTCGTATAATTGGTATCATAATGCTGCCATTGTGTATGATGTATGGTCAGGGATGAATACAGTTTCCAAAATTCCTGGATAATTCATGACAGTTAAAGGAAATAGGGGAGTGAACCTGGGTAAACCAAGTAGAACAGAGAAGAGGGGGAAGTCTAACTTATATTGATTACAAAGTCCTTTCAGCACTCCACATCTAAATACTGAAGATGGTAGACCAGGTGGCTGCTTTGCAAATGCTTTATAAAAATGTGTGAAATGTAGAAGATACAAGCTCTCATATGGAATGAGATAATGAGTCCATCAAGTATCTCCATCTTTGAGCTTATTATGCTCCAGAAATAGATGAAATGATCAATGTTGTAGGTGTTGGAACAGCTGCTTTTTTGCCCTTTACAAAAAACCATATGGAGATGTTCTTTGTGGCTCTTTATACCTCTATAGAAATGTTCTTTCCAAGGAGATATTAGCATGGATGACCACATATAAAGGTGTGCTACCTCAGTTCTTCCTCTGATGAAGGGGTTGAGCACAAAGTATGAATTATATCCTGATTTATAATGAAGAATGAACTCTCTTTTGATAAAAACAAAATGCTTTTTCCCCCGCAGGATCTTTACCGAGGTTAGAGCCACCAACACCACGATGTTTAGAGTAAGTAAGGTTTCCCATAGAAGCCCCAATATAATTACAGTTAATTTCCTAAGGACCAGAAGAAAGTTGGTTAGGTGGATGAGCTTTCAAGAATGCAGTCAAGATGTGAGTCTCCACATGATACAAATGATGAGGCTTAGACCTGGATATTAGGATTGTTAAAAGCTTAAAAGCTTCTTATGACTTTCAAGAAAACCAGGATGTCTTCCGATGAAGGGATAAGAACAGACATTTTGGATGTCACTGCATGTTCTGCAAACACTATCTAAATTATTTAGTATATATCTAGAATGACTTCTTCCTAAGCTGTAGAAAGTGTGGAAATAACCACTTGAGAGTATCCTTTATCCTTTAATAGCTGCAGTTTGTATACGAGGTCATCAGATATATTTGTTGACTGGAAATAATTGCAACTCTGACCCTTAAAACAGACGCTCCCAGAGAGGTGCTATTGCAAAGCTGGAACAAGAGCTGGAACCAAAATTTCTTGGGCCAGAAAGAAATTATTTCTACAGACTTATGCCTTCTTCAGAACTGTCATAACAAGAGAAGTTGGTTGGATATCCCAGGTGAAGGTCCCAAGGGCTGGAGAGGGCCTTCATCCATACTGTGAATAAATCATCCGATAGAAGAACTTTGCGAGTTCCAAATTGGAAGGTTTTTCCAGGGGACAAAAAACCATGGTGGAGACCTGAGTGGGGTCCTAAAGAGCAGAGTCTATTTTTCACAATCTTTTATTGTTAGCTCTGAGTCTCTTGAGTAACAGGGAAAAAGCAGCTCTAATAAATTCATTTATGACAGTGTACCCTTTAATGCACCATATTTGTGATTCATTTTACTGTACAATGTGGGGTTTTGCTGTGGGTACTCCTGCAAGTTTGGGATTAATGCTACAGGTGCAGGGTTAATAGAGCAGGTGTGGAGCTTATCAATATAGGTTTATATAATACTCTGAACTCATTCAAAGAGTCAGTGTTATAATATTATTCATAGAACTTTCATAGAAGTTCATCACAATGTGAATTGTATGTATTTTTTTCACTCTAGTTTCTCAATAGGGAGCTTCTGATTAGTGGTGCCAAGTCCGAGGTTTCCTGATTGAAGCCTTGGAAATTGAGAGTAAGTACAGGAGCAGAGTGATCAGACTCCCAGGACTTCCCCGCACCATAACAGCTTCATTGTGATGAAGATGTTATGGAGCCCGGAGTGTCCCTTTAAGTAAATATATGTAGGTGGTGCCATAAAATTTACCCTTGGTGTAAGGCCCTGTTTTTTTTGTCACCTAGCAATAACCCTGCTTTTTTTCATTGTATCTAGGCCTGGCGATACTAATTTCCAAAGATGACAGTTAACACATCTGGACAATACTTCCCTATGTTCTTCAGAGGTCTGAAATAATTGGTTCAGTGTTTTATATAGTCTTTTATGAGATGTCCTGTACAGCAAATGTGCACTGGCACAACTATGAATAGCATAATTTTATGAATAAAACCATTTGGCAAGATAATAGAAACTAAGATGCAGTTTCTATTACCGTACATGGCAATTTAGGTAGTTTCACTCGTCTTTCATGAATAAAGTGATGACCTCTATGTACAGTGCTCTTGTTAACAACAATAGGAGATTTAGCATTGGAAATCTCAGCCACTTCCTGGTATCTGCAGCAACTGCAGATAAGCTTCAAACAGGAGACAATCAGAGGTAAGTATGTTTTTATAATTTTTATTTAATATTAAGTATCTTTTTTTAAATTAATCTTTGTTTCGCTTTCCACTGCATTGTCTCCATAATTAATTAAAAAAAAAAAAACAGGTCAACCCCAAACTCCTGTGTCCCTTTAAGAGAGGAGACTGCAGCCCCAGGGTCTCAGTATTTGTTTTGTATCTTACAAGGTATCTTGGAGATATATAATTATGACCTGAATATACTCTCAAGTAGTGCTTGCAGTAAATCTACAATAATGGGAAATGTAGGACTGGGGTTGGTAAGGGAACCTGCAGATGTATGGGTAGGACATCCAGAAGAGCGATGTCATATGATGTTTGTCCTAAGTTGTGCGTGTCACATAGCAGTCTGTGTATCTTGTAGATATACAATTATTCACAGCTGCTGAGTACTGAGCTATTTCATCTTTGATCTGCAGATGTTACATATTTTAAAATGTGTGCATATAAAGTATTAAATACAAATCTATTATGTCGAACTCTTTATAGAACAACAGATTTGTTAAAGATTTTTATATACACTATCTGGCAGTCCCAGAGAGAGTTTATGTTAGTTTAGGCTAGTTATTGTCCTCATCTCTGGCTGGTTGCTAATCATCATCCGATTTTCTCTCTGTTCCTCCCTTTGTGTCCCTATTTAGCCAGGAAGTATTTTGCTTGTATTTTGAGAAGTTGCCTTGGTTACCAGCTACATACAGGGTGTGTGTATATGTGGATGTATGTGTGCACTCAGGAATCCCCCATCATCTTTGATGCATCATTTTGGGAATCTCAGCCTTGTCATATGGCTGTGGGTGTGTTTTTGTGTGTATGTTACTCAGTAACACACTGTGCATGAGTCAGTCACTCACTCATCTGATAACCACGGGGTGATCCCCTGTATAAAGCCATGTATTCTTTGGTTTGTGTTTTTCATAACGTTGCCAAGACACTCTGTGTAAGGCGTATTTTATTTCTTTTACTAGGAAGAATTTACAAAAGTTACATTAATCTTATTAAAACTAAAGTTACATGAACTATCAGTTAAGCATTTCTATCGCAAGGGCAAACATAGGAGGGGAAGTGTTATAACGATTTTTTTTTTTTTTTTATGAAAGTAAATCTACTAGCTGCTGAACAAGGAGAACATCCTAGCATTAATGGGAAACATTGTGATATTAAAAGGACACTCTAAGCCAGGGCTGTCCAACCTGCGGCCCCCCAGATGTTGCTGAACTACAACTCCCATGATTCCCTGGCTATCTGTTTTATTGAAAGAATAGTCAGGCTTTGACTCACACACCCTGAATGAAAAAATTGTTTCATTTTCAATCAGATGTTAAATTACTTTAGAAGCTTTTGTCTCCTGCTCTATAAATTAAAGGAATAAAATAGTGCCAGGAATACAAAATGGTATTCCTGGCACTATATCTGCCTCTGCCTCCCCCAACACCCCTGTGAATAAAGGGTTAAAAATCCTTTATTTACTTACCTGATTGCTGGTCTGGTAGACAGAAATTGGAGGAAGACTTAATGCTGCAAAGTAAACAATGTTTTACATTGCAGCACTAAGTGCAATAGGGACACTGCACCCAGACCATTAAAATGAGCTGAAGTGGTCTAAGTGTCTATAGTGTCCCTTTAACCTGTAATCACACACAGGAGGTTACTGCAGTCTAGAAGAATTAATAGAACAGAATATAAGAAATTCTAAATGAAACAGATTGTGCAAAAAGGATGTTTAAATATTAAATCTCTCTTTACAGGAAGTGTTTAGAAAGACTGTGCAAGTCACATGCAGGGAGGTGTAACTTGAGCTGCATAAACAAAATTATTTTTTTCCTATATAGCAGAAAATGAACATTCAATACACTATACATACACTTAAAACTGTTTTATTAGGCAAACGTTGTTTTAGTGCCTTTAGTATCCTTTAATTAAGCTATTATGGTGTTTAGATCATGCCCATGTAGTCTCACTGCTTAATTCAATGTTATTTATGAGTCAAATCACTTTTGTTTCTGTTTATACAGCCCACACCTTACTTGGTTCACACAACCTCCTTGGAAAGAAATGGTTTCACGCTCAATCAGAGCACAGTGTGTTTACTTTAGAAGTTATTGTCTCCAGCTCTGCTAATTAAATTTTATTCACACACAGGCAGCTGTTGTAGTCTATTAAAGTGTTTCTGTCACTGTCTGGGTTCTTTGCATAATTTGCAAAGACTCTCAACTATGACTTTGCCCATGGGTATCTGGTTGCCGCGGGATGCAGAGGAAGGTGAGTTATAATTACCTGAACCTGTTATCTGGGCCTCCGTAATCCTCTTCTTGCTGTTCCTCTTCATCTCCTGGCTCTTCAGCTACCAGGAGATCACGTCAGCATTGTATGAGAGTACAGCACAGAAGTCTACAGGGGATCCCACGAGACAGCATGATTCTCCATAGACAGAGCCTTTTTCTTCTCATCTATCACTAGTGATGACTGGGGGCTTGACAAGGCTTAACAAGAGGTAGCTCTGCCTTTTTGTCAAGCTTATTAAATATAGGAAAAATGATAACACAATTTAATCCCTGCTTTATTTTGGTATATCTTTTGACTGTCCTGGAATTTCAGTAAAATTCCTACACAGTAAACATGAACAGGTCATAAAGATGTTATCTTTATAAAATACTAATTTTGGAGGGGGAGGTACTGCTTTTATCCAAACTGGAGACAAGAAATTCAAAATTAAAACACACTGTGTGTGCAATTGGGGAAGTTAAGACTCGACTAATTTAACTCCTAAATGGCAGCATATTGATCAGGGAAACTGCAGTGGCATGATCTATACACCAAAACTGCTTCATTAAACGGTTACGCTAACCATCATACCAGCTACGGCTCACTGTAATGGTTATGGTATGAGTACCCTGGTGCTGGTCCCTGGTAATTGGGCAAACTATTTTACAATTGTTTGTCCTCTTATCAGGGTCCCCTAGGGCGCCAGTTCTCCACTTCTAGGCTGGCTAATGATGCCCCAATGAAGTTGCCCTTCAGCAGCAAAGGGGTTAAACTCAGTGTGAGCAGCTTTCATAATAAAATGCTACTGAAGTGGTCATGGTGCTTGGAGTAATCCTTTAAGGCACGGGTACCCAAAAGGTGCTTTAAAACTACAGCTCCCATGATGCTTTGTCATTCTAAAGACATTCTAGATGCATGCAAAGCATCATGGGAATTGTAATTTTATAACATCTGGGGATCTTCCTATTGGACACCTCTGCTTTAAGTTAACATTGTTTCATTGCTTAGGGTCAGTGGCATACACATGACCCATGGGGCCCCGGTGCGAAAATTGATTCATGCCCCCCCCCCCCACCCGCGCTTACTCTGCGTGGGCCGGGGCAGCAACACATGGCAGCTGGTCTGCGACTGCGGTATGTACGCCAGTGCATGCAGATGCACACACACTTAAAGGACCACTACAGACACCCAGATCACATCAGCTCAATGAAGTGGTCTGGGTGTCAGGTCCCTCTAGTTTTAACCCTGCAGCTGAAAACATAGCAGTTTCATAGAAACTGCTATGTTTCACTGAGGGTTAATCCAGCCTCTAGTGGCTGTCTCATTGACCGCTGCTAGAGGAGCTTCCGCGATTCTAAGACACTGAACATCCATAGGAAAGCCTTGAGTAATGCTTTCCTATGGGCGGTTTGAATGCGTGCGCGGCTCTTGCTGCGAATGCCCATTCAGAGCTGAGAGGCGGAGGGATCCCCAGCGCCAAGGGAGTACGGCGCTGGAGAAAGGTAAGTGCTGAAGACACACACACTCACGAACAGATGCATACACACAAGCTAACAGACACACACATTTATTGACAGAGACACCCTCAGCGACAGACATACATACACACTCACTTACAAAACATACACTCTCACTGACAAACACACTCAGTAACAGACACACACAGTAACACACTCACTGACACTCACTAGCAGACACACACACACACACTAACACACACACACTAACACACACACACACTAACACTAACACACTTTTTTTTAAATTTAATCCCCCAGCCTCCTTACCTTTTGGAGTGCTGAGGGGATTTCCTTGGGTCCAGTGGTGCTGCTGGGCTCCTGGGCAGCCGGTCCTGTGGGCTGTCTGTCTGGTGGGTGCGAGGGAGTACTCTCCCCTGAGTGTTTCCTCTTCAGCTCCCTCGCGTGCCGCACTGATACCGGAGCTGGAAGATGACGTCATCTTCCGGCTCCAGTATCTGTGCGGCGCGCGAGGGAGCTGAAGAGGAAGCACTCAGGGGAGAGTGCTCCCTCGCACGCGCACCAGCGATACCAGGGCCAGCCTCGGGGGGCCCTGAGGTGGCCAGCTCCTGGGCCCCCAGGAGAAGAGGCTGGCCAAAGTGGGTAGATACCGGGTCGTAGGGCGGCCGGGCCCAGTCGCAGCCGCGACCCCGGTATGTACGCCACTGCTTAGGGTGTCACTTTAAGAGCTCCCACTCAACATCAGGAGGGAGTGATATGTAGAAATAAAACCACACAGGACAGCCAAACCGGGCAGTAACACAATAGGGAGGAGGAAATGTGGAATCAGATGTACACTCATGTGAGAATTTGCCTGATGTAGACTATTAGATAAATGAGTATCAGTCTCATGGATCCAGTTACTGTATTTGTCTTGAAGGGTAGGATATAAACTCATCAACACTGATGACTCCACTGACTTTATAAGAATTATATTTATGTGTGGAGTTCAAGCCGAGGCAACCTTATATGATGTAAATGTGTAGTGACAACTTCAAATGCACAATGCTGTATATGTAGAACACTTGCAAAGCTACTGACTATTAGACCTTTAAGGGACAGGTTTGATAGGTGATCCATACAGGACTCACACGTTTCCCATTAACATTAGGAAGTGCAACTGGAAAACTGTTGAATATTAATATATAAGGTGAGCTGTGCTTAAAATATAATACACACAAAAAAGCAAGGATAATAACTAAATTATCAGCAATGAAACCGTAAAAAAACAAATTGAAAATCTAATAAATAAATAATGCTGCAATCTGTACACATATAAAACACAGGTGATGTCTCCTGCATAGGAGTGGATGGTAATATCACGTAATATCAGTGGAATGTCCAAATTCTATAAATAACTGTTGTCCATAGATGGTTCACACATGAAGAGTTGTGCCCATACAGTCACTGATCTGTAATATGCCCTGAAAATACTAGATCCAATTTGCAATAGGCATCAAAGAATAAAAATTTAATGCGAAAAACCTGAAAACATAAGCCCAGTGCTCACAAATAAGTTATGCTTACACTTAAGAAGAGTAAAGATTGTCCAAACCCACTCCAGTAGTACAAACTGATCGAGTCTTCTATCTGGTCATATTGTGGAACAGATGAAGATCTCAAAACGTGCCTTGGGAGTTTGCAACAACCGCAGTGGGCATAGAAGCAGGCGAAACTTGTATGTGTGAAAAATAATTGTAACTTTTTCTGAAAAAAATAAATTTGATTACAATAGAGAAGGGAAAGTTTAGTGCTCAGTACCGCTGCTGCTGTCCGTTATGTTCTGTCTCCGGGGTTGGCGTGCACTCCAAACTCCCTCCGGCGACCTCAGTGGGAAACGGATATCATGGATTTGAGAGGAGGGAATCACCTTCGTACTATGATGAGCTAAGTCGATAAGAAGCACCTGGATACTGCCTGACCATCGTAAACTGGAGAACAATAATACAAGAATAATGGTCTTCATCTAAGATTCCATTCCTCTAAGCAGATCTTGGGTATCTAGTTAGTGTTGGGTCTTGAAGATGAAGTCAAAAGGTTTTAGGTTTCAGAGGGAATTCCTTGCAAGAGTGTCATTTAGGAGACCAGAAGCTCTTTAAAAATGAACATGTAGTGTCGGTCAGAAATCAGCCACAGCTTGTCTAGGGAAAAAAATGGAAATTGGATCATAGCTGACATTTTTAAATCTATTTTTCACCATGATTGGGATTTACCAGACTCTGGCCATAGTGAGCCAGAATCATTTTCAAATGTTGACATTTAACAGAATAAGAATATAGGCCAAACACTCTAAGTTATGGGTGGACGAAATGTCAACAGCCATCTGTTTTTCAAATGTATGAAAGTAAGTTTGCATTCAGATCTATCGAAAATAAGCATGTGCATATTTCACTGAAGTCCTAGCCTAACTTTCAGTATGTGATCCACCCATGTGCGCTCAGTAAATATGCACATCTTGAAGACACATTGCATCCATCCTTTGCACATCTTTATATAATGGATGATGAGCTCTTTGTTTACACAATTCAGAGAACCATATGAAAGAAAAACCCACCAAAGGACAATGTGACTTTTACTGGAAATGTATCATAAATTATTCGGACTATTTTTACAGAATGACGTCTTGACAAGCTTAAAGATACACAACAAGCACCACAAGCACTATAGCCAATTGCAGTGGTTATAGTGCCAGGAATATACTAGCACCTCCCAAGGGTAAGTAGTAAAATGATTTGCAAACAGTTTGAAACCTTACCTAGGTTTAGAAGTTCTTGCAAGGAGTTTCTGTTAGCTTTACTGTGTCAAACCATTCTGTGTTGGGTTGACTCATTGGCTGAGAGTGTCTTACACCACCAGGCTAGCTCAATCCAGAGATCTTCCATCTGCACAAGAGGAGATGACCAGTGCTTGCCGGACCCCAGGTAAGTTGTCAAACCATTTGCAAATGGTTTGAATATTAATATTATTACTATCTTTTTTATAGTGCCAAATATTCAAAGCACTTTACAGTATTATAAAAAAGGGAAAATGTATAATAAATGAGACAATTACAAAAAGTTACAGGAACAATAGGTTGATAAAGGCCCTGCTTGAAAAAGCTCAATACATACCCTGAGAGCATGGCAGAACAATACTGTAACCATAACCACTACAGCAGGCTGTAGTCACTAAGCTCATTTAAGCATAGAACTACACCAATTTATGAAATCCTAAAGTGCACAAAAGAGGAAAGCACAGTAAAAATTACCGCTGTTTATCTCTTCAATAATACCATTAACAATTTTAAAATGGATTCTGGGCATGTGTTTATGTTAAGAAAGAAAAAGTAGAAGTTTGACTAACAATTGACTTTAGACCCCACTGACAATCCAACAATAGCTATAAGCCTGCCTATAGACCATAAATCTCTGGTGGGTTTACCAAATAATCTCTGGATTAGGCTTCACCTCTTTTTCTGGTACAGGTAACTGCTCTGTAACAGTCAAATCACAGCTCCACTAAGGATACACAATCTAGATGTTTGACTTTTAATAGCAAGTACAAAAATATTTTTTTAATTTGTCCTATTCTAGCAAGTATTAGTACATATAATTTATAGACTGTAAGCTCGTTTGAGCAGGGTCCTCTTACACCTAGCGTTCCTGTAAGTTTTCTTGTAATTGTCCTATTTATGGTTAAATCCCCATATATTGTAAGCCTACTGAATCTGTTGGCGCTATATAAATGTCGATAATAATAATGATAATATAAATGTGTGTATTTATATAATAAATGATATTTAGAAACCTATATAATACTTATGTACATAATGTCTTTACAATAGTAGCGGTTTAAATATTAATATTTAATAAAATAATACATTTTAAGTGTTTGCCTTTTTTTTTAAGTGTTTATCACTTTAAAGGAACACTCTGAGCACCATAACCACTGCAAGGTCCCAGGAGTGTCTTGGTGCCAGCCCATTGTACAGCCTTCAGCAGGCTGGCTGAGAGTGTGAGCTATCGGAAGGCTGCATTGCAGGCAGTTTTCTTTTATATACTCTATTTGTTCCCCAACCAAAAATGAAACACATAAGGGGTTGAAATACAGTTCATGTGAACGTGAACTGCAAAACTGACACCAAAATAATTCATTTGGAAGAACAATTATTAGACAAATAGCTATTTTAGCCTTATTTTTCTATTCACTTTGCAATTCACCTATTGATTTCTACATTCACTGTACAGTATTATTATTATTATTAATTATAAAGCGCCAACAAATTCAGTAGCGCTGTACAATAGGTAAAAATATAACCTTTTGCAATGCCCAGGCTAATTCTCTATTGTTCACCACATTAAAAGGTTTCATGACTCTTCTGTATTTTTGTATCAGAGCCATTTGACTAAATTAGGTTAAATGATATTCACACTTCAAAGGCTGAATTCAGCTGTAAATTTCATGAATGCAGTATTTTTGTTGTTTTATTTCAAAACTGTAACTTCTTCAGGTTAGTTCTTTTATCTGTTTGAAAGTTTTTATCACTTTGTTATCTGGCTACACTGTTGTAAACAATAGGAATCCTGGGTCTAATCGGCACCGTCCCTTTAAAAATGCATTTCTTCTGGACTTTGGGTATCTACTATTATACTATCAGATCTCAAGCTAAATGGGTAAATGGTATGTATAGAGCCAGCAAGCCATTGTTTGTTTTTATAGTGCATGGCACAAAGCATTTATATGCAGTCTCCCCTATGGTATAATTACTTTTCAATTTTCCTTTTTTTGCCAGCGGTTATGTAGTTGTAATTCACATGATTATTTAACACGCATGCACAAGAGAGGAGTATGTTACACTGAATTAATGGATTAAAAATTAATTTCAAAATTAATAAATAAGAAAAATTGTTTTGCAGTTTTCTGGGTGTAGCGAGGCCTTGCCAGCCAAGGAAGTGGCTGATCTGTTTTTACCTGTTGTTTTCAATGGGAGTGCTACACAGATTCTATACTCTCATGAAAAGAGGTAATCATGACTGTGCATTCAGTTCCTCGTGGAAATATATAAGGAGTCCTCAGGGAAGTTACAAGAAAGACCCTCCCTGGACTGATAAGGAAGGGGGGGGGGACATGACTGATGCAGAGATAAGGGGATGGGACAACATGGATACAATATGACAAAATGGGACTGTACAGATATATAAGCGACAGATGGGAGGGGACTTACCAGTCAGCTTGGAAAAAGTTCAGGGATCCTGACTTTCCCTTCCTCCCTCCCTAGGGTTTAGCGATGATAATTGCTGTTCAATGTTTGGTGTGTGCGTTGTTTTTTTCTGTCTCTTCTTGTTTTGTCACAGCATGCGGGAGTCCTGGTTAGCGCAGTCATAAGCGGAAGAAGGTGCCGAGGAGGCATGGGGAGTCGCAGCCTGCCGGGAGCTGATGGCGGAGGCAGGCTGCTCTGGACTCATGGTTTAATGGGATACACCTGTCTGTTGGTGAACCACTCCAACAGCCGACAGTGGTGAATACTTGCTGGCATGAATTATCAATAAAGCTGTGGCAGTTGCCCTTACCCAACATAACAAGGTCTGACGTGTGTTATTGAGCAACGGGTGGGGGTATTCCCGGGGTTGTCAGCAGTCAAGCTACACCGTATTGTATTTGCATCATGTTCTACATAGGGAACATTGGCTATTAGAGTGCTAGGGGTGTCCTTTTAATGGAATGGGATAGTCTGCTTAATGATTAAATGACATTTACTGTGTATTCTCTCTATGGAATGTCTGTGCTGTTGCCCAGAAACTGCCCGGTCCTACTAATTACAAGGTCAAAGAGGAGTTTATGAATTGCGCTAAATACTAACCAGAGATTAATCAGAGTGCTTTATCGTTTATCAACTGCAATCAATTCGGACAACCTGTTACTGATATATCCTGGAAGTTTTGCATGGATAACTGTTTCTCTAAAAATGTCCGATGGTGTTGTAGAAATAGTGAATTATTGTGCTTGTACTTCTGACTGTGCAGTTTAGAGCAAACTATCAAATCACAGATAGAGTAAACTATCGTATCACACAGAGTAAACTATCAAATTTACACAAAGGAAAATGTTGTGAAAAGAGTTATCTAGGTTTGAAGGGTAAACAAATCTATTTCCTATGAAATAGTACACCATACTTAATTCAAACATGTGCGTCAACGTCAATGGGACTTGTCTCTTATGAACTTATCCCTATAAAAAGCCCTGACATTTTAGAGAACGTGGACAATTAGAGTTGCATGCTACTAAACGACCCATGCACTCACAGCTCTGTTTGGATTAGCTTATTTGTTTTCTCTACCAATAAAATCTATCTAAGACTTAAATCTTGGCCAGAGACCAGAACACACAC